AAATAAGTCTACAAAACTTGGAGATAAAGGAACAAACATACCTCCACGAATCAGATCTTTAGAATGTGCATACAAAATATGACCACAGGGCAGCATGTAGTCATTGAAACGCAATATTTCGACCTGAAGGATAAATTCATTTGAAGTAAGGCATACGTAGATAACCGATGTCTTCTCCTTTGCCTAGGTTGTGTTGGCGAGTTAGACGTTGTACGCTCTTCAGAAGGATGATTATTACTCTCATCATCTACATCCTGAACGCAAGCATCTGACTCTGACGAACTGCGTTTACGTCCATATGTACAGACATATCTCACGAAAAAGTACTTTAGAGTTGGATCATCACTGTTCTTTTTGCATACTGACATAACGTACTTAGTATGCGTATACTAAAAAAATAATTACTAACCACAGAAGTCATATTACCATATGTACTTCTTTCAAACAGGTCTCAAAATTGTCCCAGTTTCAGTTTCAGTTTGGGAAGGACAGGAGGCTCGATGGCCTATGTTAGTCCTGGCAATGGTGGTCTCTCAGTTGATCCAACTTTCTTTTGAAAGAGTCGACGGATGGAGCCTCAACGACGTGCTGAGGTAGTGAATTCCACTCGTTGATGATTCGATGGGAAAGTCGATAGTCAGCTGACAAGTAATTTGTTCTCGGCTTATGAACTTTTTTGGAGTGTCCTCGTAAATTCTCTGTTTTGGAAGACAAGAAAAATGAGGGCATGTTAGGTGCAAATTTATCACTAAGCAATTTGTAGACTGTAATCAAGTCGCCTCTAGTTCTGCGATATGACAACGGGAAAAGGTTCAGCTTGGCCAGTCGAGATTCATACGGAAGCTTCGCTATTGCGGGAACCAGCTTAGTCGCCGTTCTCTGAACCTTTTCCAGAAGCTCACTGTCTTTTTTAAGCAGGGGCTAGCCGCCTGTATGCAGTACTCAAGTTTAGGACGAACGAACACTGTATACAAAGTCAAAAACGTCTTAGTGTCGACATGACTAAAAGCCCTACGTATTGACCATAACGTTCTAAAACTTTTGGCGGCTATTGCACGGCAGTGTGCAGTAGTCTTTAAGTCTTGACTAACGATAACTCCTAAGTCATTATATGTCTGGACGACAGGTAGCTCAGTGTTATTCATCGTGTATGTATCTGTGCCTTGATGACCGATATGCATCACAACACACTTGGAAGTATTTATCGGCAACTGCCATGTTTGAGACCATTCAGATAACTTCTTCAGGTCATTTTGAAGTTCTAAGCTATCACTCTTACATCGTATCGTTCTCCATATCTTGACATCGTCAGCATATAGCAAGACCGATGATGATAGGAGACAAGGAAGGTCATTTACATACAAGAGGAATAGCACTGGCCCCAAAACTGTACCCTGGGGCACTCCGCTAAGCACAGTTTCCCAGCTAGATAACTTTGAGTTCACCCTTACTCTTTGTTGACGCCCAACTAAGAAGTCTTTTATCCACATCAATAAATTACCTCCAATCCCGATATGTCTTAACTTATATAACAGCCGGTTGTGCGGAACTTTATCAAAAGCTTTACTGAAATCAATGAAGGCGACGTCTACAGGTAGCTTTTGGTCCTTAAGAGCGCACCAGCTTTCACGAGCCACTAATAAGTTAGTGAGACAAGAATAACCTATTCTGAAGCCATGCTGCTTCTCCGAGAGGATCCGGTTTTTATCGAGATACTTAAACAGCTCCTTCCGAATAATCTTTTCTAATATTTTAACAACCACACTAGTTAGGCTAACGGGGCGGTAGTTCTCAGGTTTGTGTTTCGTGCCTGTTTTGAAGACAGGACTTACTATGGCGTTTTTCCAATCTTTCGGTAAGCGACCCTGCGTAACGGATAGGTTAAAGCATGTACTTAAAGGGCTTGCAACGAAGTTAGATAATTCCTTCAGTAGCCTAGGATGTAATTCATCGGGCCCCGTGGATTTACCTATGTCAAGCTTATTTAGCAGACCAAAGACATCGAGTTCTTTAATGGTCACGCTATCCAGTGTATGTATGGGGGGATCTGTATACGCTGACGAGAAGGGCGCTTCTATGGTATACACGTTGCTAAAGTAGTTCGAGAACGCTTGAGCCTTACCAAAGTCGTCCTCCACTAATGATGAAGCAGTACTGTCTCCCCATAGAGCAGGAATATTTCCTTTTCTCCTTGTCCTTTGGTTTATATAGGAATACAAGCGTTTAGGACATTCTATGGATTCCTTAACAAGTTTTTCTTCGTACAATTTTCTAGACTTACGGAGGGTCGAGGCACAAGTGTTCCGAGCCTTTCGATACTGAGATTTTGACTCATCAGTCCCCAGTAACCTAAATCTATCCCACGTTTTCCTTTTCTTACGGAGAAGGATACGGACCTCCCTACTGAACCATGGTGGTGAGTTTTTCGGCCCCTTTGGTATAGTCCAAGGGATGTGAGGTGTGGTAACTTTTAAGTATGAATTTCGAAATGCGTCCCAGGCCGTTTCAATGGAGGACTCTGGGTCTATTGTCCAATCTATTAACGATGCTGAGTGCATGATGTCTGGTATGTTTGCTTTCCAGACGTTGGGTCTGGACTGGACTGACGCGTCCTCATGACTGGCAGTTATATGGAAGTCGAAAGTTAAAACTGCGTGGTCACTTTTACCTAAGGGTGGCATATGATGGAGGTTCGCAACATCATCCTCATAGTGAGTCAGTATAAGATCTAATAAGGATGATTCAGTGTCCGGATCGTACCTTGTCGCTTCTTTCACATGTTGCACTAGAGCACATGTGATAACCGCATCAACTAGTTCCTGCTCGAAAGAATTCTCCGACGATTCAGTTCGCAGATTTTCCCAGTCTACCATAGGTGCATTAAAGTCCCCTAGGATTAGACATCGACCACTTTGGGACCAAGTATTGAGACTGCTTAACAGGATCTCATTTGCCTCACAGCTTGGACTGCGATAGACCAAACCAATCAGCAGCTCTTGTCCCTTGCATTTTAAGCGAAGACTAACTAATTCACACGTCCCACTCTCATGGGATACACTATCGATAATGGTAAATGGGATAGCATTCCTAATGAATAGAGCTACTCCCCCTCCTTTGCGCTTTTGTGTTCTGTCGGCCCTTACTAACGTAAAGCCCTCGAAATCAAGTTCTATACTATCTATAGCCTGTGTCAGCCAGGTTTCTGTTACTGCGATTATATCTGGCTTTATAGAGTCAATCTGTACACCTAGTTCCGATCGCTTATTAAGTAAGCTTCGTGCATTGGTGTAACAGATCCGAAGCCTGTTTAAGTGCCTTCGTGCTTCACCCAGAGTGGCTTCGGCATCATTCTCTGTCGAAGTCTTACAACCCGAAAATTTACAATTTTCAGGTCCTTTTCGCCAGCGTCTAACCTATGTTGTAGTTCTTTCTCGGCTTCCCGTCTTTTAACACGGTCTGCCAACGGTAGGTCCTTTCGGATAAAGACTCCTGAACCCTTTAATTTGTGTCCATTTTGTAAAATTAGGTCACGTTCGTTTGAAGAGCCGAATACTACTTTAAGCAGTCTGGAATGATTTGGTTTCGAGTCCGTTAGACTCCCTAGTCTATACACCTTTAGCAAGGTGACCCCAGTCATATTTTGAGGCATGAGTTGATTAAGCAGCTGCCTAATCAGTACAATGTCATGCTCAAAACGAGCTTTAGGTTCAGAGCTATCGCTCTCCTTAATTCTATGAAAAATAGCTGATCTGTCGCTATGATCAGCTTTCGATTTTTCAACCACTTTTACGGGGGCAGGTTTCCCTTTTATATCAATACTTTTCTTCCTTACAACCTTTACCCATTCGTCAACGCTGCTGGTAGAAGCAATAGCAGTTGCGTCAAACCTAGTGTTGGGTTTTGGGGGGTTGTCGACGACCTGAGGGGTCGTGTTATGTTTACCATTTGAAACCGATCGAGCCTTGCGATTGCGGCTCCTAGGTGTTTCCTGTTGGATCCCATCTGGGAGACGGGGAACAGAAGACCCTACTTTTCTTGAGCTTTTTTTTAAGGCAGGCCCCTTTGGAGACTGCTTTTCCTTCTTTGACGGGCGTGAGTCATCTATCACCGGACTCACCTTAGTTTCCTTCACATTGATTTGCGTGTCAACAGATCGAGTGCTGTTTGACGCGTTCCGACTATGCTTGTTGAAACACTTCTTTGCAGCATCAACCAGTGAGATGGCCTCGGTTAACAAGCTGTTTGCATCCGAGCAGCACTGTTGACAAAGCCACACACAACCCTTCTTACTGAACCGTTTGAAAGCAGCAGGCGTTAAGTTCGTGCAAACTTCGTGGTACCAGCCTTTGCACTCGTCGCACTGCATGCCGCTTTCAACAGGATAACGACAACCCGGACGTTGGCAACTGCTTTTTTTACACTGTCCGGTCATTTAGGAGGGGTTTTTTCAATATGCGATGATACCCAGAAACAAAAAAATTATCAATGACCAAAAAAGTGAAGAGCTGTAGATTGCTAGGACCAAAAGTACTAACAGATACAGTTGAAAAAGAGGTACTAAAGAGTACCAACGACAAAACAGTAAAAACGATACTTTAGTCAAATACTTTAACTGAAATAAATTCAATTAAAGTGAAAAACAGTAGTCTTGATACGTAATAAACGATCAAAACAATGAAATTTACTCAGCGAGGAAAAATACCACTGTCCTTTTTAAATAGCGCGCGCGGTAAATCTTCGAGATAACATAGTATCATTGAAGGTTCGTCCTATATCATGCATCATCACGATGGCATCGTCTTCGTTACTTGAAGAATGGACGTTACCAGACATGGTGTGGCTGAACTCAATTCAAATCTAAAAATGTCTTGATTTGACCGCTTCTGACAATTTTCACGTATTGTCGATGTGACGCACCAATCATTTTGTGCCTGTTTGACCTTCAAGTGCTCGCAACCCCCATCAGTGGACGATACCCTAGGAGCGTTGCCGTCAGCATAATGTCTGAGTTCGACTTAACAAAGAAGATAAGTAGTTTTCTAGATAAACACTTAACTTTACCACTGCTGGAATACATATGTGTCAAAAATGTAAGTCATTCAGAACCTTTTATTGCTAGATATATGATGAAAAAAGCATTCTGAAGACCAAATGGGAAGTTCTCTTGGGGACTTCTATGGTTGATTATGCCGCAGATACTTATAGAAGTATATACGAAACAGAGCCTCCAAAAGGTTTGACCAGATTACTCTTCTTATTTGCTAGGATTACTTGACAAGAGAGAAAAAGTCTTAGAGAGTATTCAAGAAACGGAGGTTAAGCTAAAACCAGTGAAGGTAATATTTAGTCAAGAAACGATGAAAGAAGTTGCCCAATGTAAAAACGCCAAAGATCTGTTGACTAGTTTGGAAACTAAATACAACTTCAAGACAGAGATGCTTAACGATATGTTTGATGCTGCACGCGTAAGTTGATTACTATAGTTCTACATGATATAATGTCTTTATTGTGCAAAAGAAATAGGTGAATTTTTCCTTCACACACTATATCCAAAATAAATTTTAGATTTGCTGATCCTTCTATTTATAGGTATTTTATGATGCCGGAAATTACAACTTATCATCTGAATATTTAAAAATAGTCCGCCAGCTTGTAACCCCTGGGACACAAAGACATTGGATGCCAGTTGGGGCCGCCTAGCCAGTGAGATTTTAGTCCAAAACTGGGATGAAGCATTGGAAGATTTAGAAAAGTTGAAGGATGCTATAGATTGTCAAAATGAAGATAGAGTAAGTATCGTCAGCCTTTTTTGCATTATGTTCAAAAACACCCTTTCTAACTTGTGCTTATAAAATGCGTTGTATATTATGAGGGAACAAGTAACTTAGTCTTACTATCCTTTGCCTCATCGTATGTTTTTAAGGTATCGATACCACACTTTCTACATGTAATTGTCAGTGCGAATTCAACATCATGAGATAATAATATAGTGTCTTATTATACTAAACTTTGTTATAAATGAATTTGTCAAAAAGATGAGTACTCGAAACCAGTTTTGTGGAATATTCATTTAAGTCCGTAAGGGTTTTGGGCTCTAGATTGTCATATCAGACTAGTCTCAATCATTCATCGTTCAGTCCTGATCGTAGCAAGTACCTTGGTTTGTTGATCAGACTTGTTTATTGTGGTAGTTTGATGGAGCTGAGTTAGCTGATAATTTTCTTCCTCTTAGTCGTGCGATAACAAGCAGGTTGGTTGGGGTATAATAAGACCGGAAGCAGCAAACTCAGGGTTCGACCGTTTTAGGGTGTCGTGACGATAATGTATTTACCTTAGACATCCAGCATTTGTAGCGAAGTCGCATCCTCACGAGAAAAGAAAGGTCAGTCAGTCAGTCAGTAACAACGTAGAACTTCGTACATACGTACATCAGTTTGAGTTGCCACACCACATTAGCATAGAGATGCAGTGGTCGATTCAAATCCCGTAGTGGTAGAGGTAATAAGAGTATAAGCAATAATCGGGAAGATTAGTGTTTGGAGATGTTATTTAAACAGTATAATACAGTGAAATAAATTTGAGAGGAGAAAAAAAGAGAACGAGGAATAAGGAGATCAAAATTTGGGAGAACACAAAGAGTGTATGCACCTGCGCCATAGCAAACGATTTTGAGCCATGTCATTCAGGGTCTCTAACCATCGGTTGCTATCGTCTCGCGGTCCCCAACCAGGTAGTCTACACCTACCGACATGACTCAGACCATTTGTCAGTGACTTCATGGACTTGTGCCATGTTTTGGTCTGGCCGCCCCTAGCTTTCTTCCAACCTACTCCTATACCACTGAACATTGCACATCGAAGCAGTCGGTGGTTGGGCATACGTAACACGTGTCCCAGCCATCTCAACTGATGAAGTTTCACTACGTCATCAATTGCTTTGCCATCCTTACCTAGTGTCCGTTTCTTAACAACTGCATTACTTACTCAATGGTCCCACGATATACGAGCAATATTTCGAAGACACCTATGATCAAATACTAGTCAGTCAGTCAGCTACAACGTAGGACCAGGCATATATGTGCATCGGTCCAGGTTGCCATACCGCATCAGCACAACAAGATGAACACCGGATTCATAGCAGTGGTTAGGTCAAAGGTGGTAATAAATAAGAGGAAGATTGCATATAGAAATATAGTACAAGAAGAAAGAATTGGTTCGTAAAAAGAAAGATATGAAGCGATTTTAATCTCTTAGTTTAAGGGAAGACAAAGAGTGTATACACCGACGCCATTGTGATCGATTCTGAGCCATGTCACCAAGAGTCTCCAACCATTGGTTACGAATGTCACGCGGACCCCAACCAAGTAGTCTGCATCTACCAACATGGCTCAGACTAGAAGTTAGTGTCTTCAAGCACTGATGCCACGTTTTGGTTTGGCCGCCCCTAACTTTCTTCCAACCATCCCGAGCACCGGTTAGCATTGCACGTCGTGGTAATCGGTGTTCAGGCATACGTAATACGTGGCCCAACCATCTCAGTCGATGAAGATTCATAACCTCATCAACTGATTTACCATCATTCCCTAATACCCTGCGTCTAACCTCACTATTACTTACCCGGTGATCCCAGCAGACGCCAGCAATATTTCTAAGGCATCTGTGGTCAAATACTAGTAGCTTACGAGTGTCTTCTACTCTTAATGGCCATGTTTCGCTGCCGTAAATTAAAACAGAACGGACTGCCGCGCAGTATACTCGTCCTTTTATTGATAGACGGATATCTCGCCTTCGCCAAAGGTGACGTAAGTTGGCAAAAGCCAAACGAGCTTTTCGAATCCGTGCTGAGATTTCGTCCGATACCAACCCATTAGGGCTGATCAGACTTCCAAGATAAGTGAAGTTGTCAACGCGTTCGACTACTTCACTCCCTATCCTTAGTTCAGGTGTTGACGCAGACCAGTCCTGAAGCAACAACTTGCATTTAGAGGGAGAGAAGCGCATTCCAAACATTCTGGCATTGTTGCTTAGTGCTACCAAAAGACTGCATTTTGTCAGCGTCTTCACCAAACAGGACTATGTCATCTGCGTATTCTAAGTCGATAAGTGGACCTCCTGGATGGAGATCAATACCCGAGAATTCAGTCGACGAGAAAGTTATTTCCATCAGTAGATCTATGATGAAGTTAAACAAAAATGGGAAAGTGGACAGCCTTGACGGACACCACTTGAGGTTGCAAAAGTAGATGACAGTTCGCCATAAGCTCTGACTCGACTAGTAGTGTTCGAGTAAAGAGCCTTCACAAGGTTTATGTACTTCTGGGGTACGCCTTTCAATGACAGACACTGCCACAGAATCTCGCGGTCTACAGAGTCAAATGCTGCTTTTAAGTCGAGAAAGACCACCATTGTCGGACGCCGATAAGTATGCCTGTGTTCTAGAATCTGACGAATGGTGAATATGTGGTCGATGCAGCCACGACCAGGTCTGAAGCCAGCTTGGTTCTCTCGTGTTTGCAGTTCACGAGTCTTAGTTAGGCGTCTGATAATTATCGAGGCTAGTATTTTAGATATTATATTAGTTAAACTAATCCCTCTGTGGTTGTCACAGGATGATTTTGACCCTTTCTTATATATTGGGACGATAAGTGATTGTGACCAGTCAGATGGGATAACGTCTAATTCCCAGATCTTAGCTAAAATATTAGTCAACCTAATCGCTAAAATTGGACCACCATCCTTAAAGACCTCTGGAGCCAGTCCATCTGGACCAGCTGCCCTTCCTCGTTTCAGATTAACTATAGCCTTTTGAACTTCAGCAAGAGTTGGGGGACCTACTTCAATGTTCCATTCACACTGTCTGGGAATGGAGGGTAGTTGTAGAGTAGCTGAAGGCCAGCTGAACTGTTCTCTGAAATGTTCCGCCCATCGTTCTAAACGTCTGGACTGGGAGCAGATGAGGGTATCGTCTTTTTCCGAAATAATCTCACTTACACTTGACTTATTAATTCCAGTTTCTTTTATTAGTCTGTAAAGCTGTCTTGTGTTCCCTATAGTCGCCGCCTTTTCCATCTCTTTTGCTTTCGTTGCCCACCACTGCTCACGGTCGTTTCTTAGACTTTTTCTTAACCTAGATCTGATTTGTTGTCGCTCTTCATCATGTTCGGAACCTGATGGGACGAGTTTGCGAGAATCCATCAGTGTGATAGACTTTGAAGAAATCCACTGGTTCTTTGTAACTCTGTGGTTTAAGTCGCTAATAGATGTCACTGCTGTTTCCACAGCTGCTTGTATCTTTCCAAGCAACATCTGGGTCAGCCTCGTCTTCGAACTACCTAAGTGTGACCTCAGTTGTTCCTGGAACCTACTTTTGGTTTTCTCGTTACTCAATTCAGTTCTAATGGGTCTTTTTAATGTGGCTTTTTTGCGTCCAGTGAGGCGCAAGCAGATGCGTGCCCGTATTAGGGCATGGTCGGAGTCCAAGCAGGTACTCCAGAATGAGCGACAATCTTCTACCGACCCTCTCCAACGATGACTGATGGCAATATGGTCTATTTGAGTCCATCGTTGGTTTGGTGTAGGGGGTCGCCATGTTAGACGATGTCTCTCCTTATGCTTAAAATTTGTGTTTGCTAAAAATAAACGATTGTCTGAGCACAGTTGCAGCAGACGATCACCATTATCTGTTCGCTGTGCCGGAATGCTAAAATATCCACCTAAATGCCTTTCTGTTTGGTTTAAACTACCTATCTGAGCATTAAAGTCACCCCTACGAGTACTATGTCTGAGCGTTTAGCTTTCTGAAGAAGTTCGGAAAGCTTTCTGTAAAATTCATCTTTCACATCATCTGAGCTGCAGTCAGTGGGAGCGTAGGCAGAAACGACGAAAAGGCAACGACGTGTGTCCCTATCCTTCCGAGTTCTTACGGAGCCGTTTAGCCGAACAGCACATAGACGACTGTTGACGGGGATCCACTCTAGCAGTGCTTGTTCCGCCCTCATGCTTAGTGCTATGCCTACACCTGCCAGTCCACGAGAACTGGCCATCGGGTCACCAGATACACGAGGGTGTATCTCGTTGGCTCTCCGTTTTGCCGAGGTGAGGTCAAGTGAATGACCACACTGGAATCCTGTATGCGTGTTTCGGAGACACAGCATACATCAATGGAAAGAGACTCTAGGGTTTTAGCCAAGGAAGCCTGCTGACCGATTTGACATAGGGTGCGTACGTTGAAGGCTCCAATGTGTAGTTTGGAGCGAGGTTTCAGTAGACCTGGGACAGTGTTTTGAGCACTAGAATCGTTGGCTATGGTGACACTTGAGGAGGAAGCCGAAAAGGAAGTTTAGAGTTGAAAGTCGATGTAGGAGGAATAATAGGAATTGAAGAGGAAGGTTGATTATGAATACAGTGGTCTTGAGTGCTGTTAGAGGTATGAGGGCGGTTATCACTTCCCGGTTGCCCACACCGTGGAAGGGTTCTTCTGGAGGTACCTGAAAAGGAAATTGGATTAGAGGTGGTCTCAGTGACCTGAGAGCGTGACCGCAGTGCCCAAGGGACAACTGCTTGAGGCCGGTCGCGCACGGCCTTTTCGTGGGAGGTTTTGACGTGTTAGCTCCGTTCTTCAAAGGGCCTTACCGCCGGAGACGGAAATCCGTGAGGTAAGGTGAGGTGTGCATTTTTAGGGTCGACCTTTTCTAACCCCACCCCTCCTTGTGGGAAGGCAGCATCGCTGTCATGCTGGTTGTCTGAAGGAAACACCTTACTGCTGTCACACCTCTGTACAGTCAGCAGTACGACTTCGCCTTCGGACCTTGGGTTTGTTGCTTTTAGTCTTACCGCTCTTCAACCGACCTGTCTGACATGGTAGGACCTTGAGGAACGGTTGTTCCAGCCAGTATAGCTCGGTTGCTTCATCACGATAGGCAAGCCCGACCACCACGTCAAGGTAGCAACAACGGTCGGGTCAAATACTAGTAACCTACGAATATCCTCTACTCTTACCGGCCATGTTTCACTGCCATAAAGTAGGACGGAACGAACTGCTGCGCAGTAAACCCGTCCTTTGGTTGATAGACGGATATCTCGCCTACGCTATAAATGACGCAAGTTGGTAAAAGCTAGTCGGGGTTAAACGTCAACCCTAATACCATTATACTTCACCTGGCCTCGTGGATTTCTATCACCAGTGTTAAAACCTTGAGTGTATGGGTCTGATCAGTCAATTGGCCATAAGCGACCTAGGTCCCTAAATGCTCTGGTACGGCCGAGAGTGGGGAGAGTCCTCTCTCTCCAAATGCTCTCACATTGCCACGCGTATATAGCCTCTGACAGGGAAGTTCTACTCATTGCCTCCTCGTGATCTGGGTGTTGTTTACGAAATTAAGAGGACAAAAAGTGAATGTTCGGCGCTTTAACCGGGTTAGTGGACATGGAGAGTCCATCTAGTGGAGTTGGGAAATCCTGATTCCAAACCAATGGTGCACATGGGCTCCAGTATCCTGAAGGAACAAGTAGCGTATGAAACAATTGCTGGTCACCGGCTACCATGGGACTGCATCTCCTGACGTTGCTCCACTACCTTGTGGATCAGACCTTCGGGTCGAATGCTCCGGGTGTGGCCCCCAGAAAAAACCACCTGCTTCGATTTGGGCACCTGGACAGTATCACAGCCCTCACACACCAAATGAGATTTGTGTGGACACGTGTTACGTATGCCTAACCACCGACTGCCTCGACGTGCAATGTTCAGTGGTATAGGAGTAGGTTGGAAGAAAGCTAGGGCGGCTAGACTAAAACATGGCACAAGTCCATGAAGTCACTGACAAGTAGACTGAGCCATGTTGGTAGATGTAGACTATCTGGTTTGGGACCGCGAGATGTTAGTAACCGATGTTTAGAGACCCTAAATTACATAGCTGAAAATCGTTTGCAATGGCGCAGGTACATCCACTCTTTGTGTTCTCCCAAATTTTAATCCCCTGAATCCTTGTCTCTTTTTCTCTTTTCAATTTTATTTCACTGTATTATACTCTTTAAATAATATCTTCAAATCCGAATCTTTGCGATTACTGCTTATGCTCTTACCGCTTCTACCACTACGGGATTTGAATCGACCACTGCATCTCTGTGCTAGTGTGGTGTTGCAACTTGAACTGATGTACGTATGTACGAAGTTCTACGTTGTTACTGACTGACTGTGTGGCGCATATGTATTTGGTGCATCCTTGTGTTAAAATAAATAAATAAATAAAAGCGACCTAGAACATGAAATGTACGTGTCGACACAAGCTGCCATACTATGCCAGCATTCTGTGACGAAGTTGTCAGAACAAGTGTCAGTGTAGTATAATTGGTAACAGTATCAGCAGTAATAGAAAAGACTAGATAGACAGTACGATTTAAGAATAAGTTCATGGAATAGCAATTATGAGATGATTTTAAAACTCGAGATCTAACGTAAAACAAAACAAAAATGACTTCGTACTCCATTGCTTGTGGTTCTGAACGACGTCACCCATCTCCAACCTTTGGTTACGTTAAGTCCAACCAAGTTGTTTGCACGGGTGTAGTACGACAAAAACTACTCAGAAATGTTTATGCGGCTGACTTCGAGCAGTTGTTTCTTGAGCTCTGCAGTCGTGCTCCTAGATCGACAACAGCGCTGTCAACTCAGTTACATAGAGTTATTTCTGGTCTCCTGAATGCATGTTAGAGCCTTCAATGTTGCAAAGTCGTGTTAAAGCAGGTGACAGGCTTCTTTTGATAGGATTCTAGAATCTTATGCCACTGGTACATGCTGCGTCTCCAAAACTTGCATCACGTGTGATCTTTCACTTGACTTTAGTCAGTATGGAAGAGTGGCTCTATCCGACCCTTGTTTATCTGCAAATTTTACTTCTCGATACCTTACTGTATGTAAACTCACGTTGATTAGATTCTGGTAGACAGTTGATTAGGCAATAAATATTCAGAAAATAGGGACACTCCATTGCCATTTCGTCTCTATATACACTCCTACCGACTAAAATTCGGGTAAATAAAAAGATTGGTTTGTACAGGTAACCTTTGACCGTCAACGAGTAACCGCCCAGACATAGTACTCGTTGCCGGTTATTGTAATCCCTCCGTAGTTAGTCTAAATCAAGTTGGAAAATACTCAGGTGAATCTCTCGGCATCTTCGCTCAGTGGACATATGACTACGGTCGTGTTCTTGTAAATATATCCCCAGAAATCCATTTATTTCTATTTAGCACCAACTTTAAGTATAAAAGTAGACATTTGTCATGATGACCCCGAAAATCAACTCAATAGTTCATACCACCATCAGGCATCGTTAGGACACATGTTTAGGCCCTAATCATGCTTTGGTGAGAGCTTGGTAAACTTGGTAGCTGCGTCTCTCGTATGTTTAGTAAAAAATCATGTCACTCACTAGTCTTATATAAATGTTCGTTTCACAATAAACCACATTTGCTACGTAAATGTTGGTGATACTGCCTGGTTACCTAAACCTCAGTAAGTCAATTGAGATTTAAGACAATCTTTGAGTTTTACATTTTCGAGGTAATTAACGTCCTACTTGGTTAAGGCTAGTAAATTTGGAGCCTGAAAATGTTTTCCTTACTGTCGTAAGATCAACTCAGTTTTGTTGAAAATCCAAGGTAGTCAGTCATAATCAATCAAGAACCTATATGATTGCGACGACTGTTCAAGGCAATAATGATGATGTTTGTACAGCTTTCATACGAGATCATTTTGTCTGTTATGAAAGTAAAAAATTTCCATTTATACCTAGTCATAAGTATTATTTCGAATTGATTCATAAGAATTTGACTGCGAAATCAAATTATTTCCGAATGAGTTAATGTTAATTAGTTCGTAATGTATAAGCAAATAAACAAAATCTGTGTAAATATTTAATTTTATGTATTTCATCGGACAGTCATAAAACGAAATAATTAGTTTACTTCACTATGAAGTTGGGATTAATCACCTAATCTTGGACATCAAACTAAGTAATCTAATTATCTTGTTTAAATTCATATGCATTGGATTACAAGCTTACACCATACTTTTGTATGATTACAATTAAGAAATCGTAAACCTACTCGAAATCTACAGGGGCCTTATTTTGAAAGTTTATGCATCTGCCGTTCTCGAGAACGCTCAAGTACTACTTTTCGTGACATAAAAGATTTATGGCAAGTCCTTTGGGATCAACAGTAGTTAGGTCGTCGAATCTTTGATGACTGACTGTAGTTTTGGATTGTCGTTATTGGAGTTTTCAGACTGGGTTAAAAATCATCCATTCAATCATACAGTCGGTCATGATGTAAGACTTGGTACGGTTGTGCATTGGCTCAAGTTGTCATATCATATCAATACCGTTAATCGAAGCTAACACAATAAATCAAATTATGTTGAATTAACTGTAGTATCAGTTCTAGCCAAAAAGTTTCATATGAGATATCAGGTTCAAATAAAAAGAATGAAAGCTTGAAGCAATATGGAAACTCGAAATCTAGGAGAGGATAAAGAATGAATGCATCTGAACTATTTTTGGTTTTAATCCATATCAAATATGGTTTCCAACCAATTGTACTGCATCTAATATTACAGCTCAAACTAAAAGTCAACAGCCAGCATTACGTCCTATTTTAGGGCTTCCTGACTGCTAACCTGCTCATTCTTTTAGCTAAATCACTAAATTACGACTCTAATGTAGCATCTTTGCTTGTCGATAAATTTTCTCTTCAATAATATTTCGCAATGGTTTCCGAAAATTAAGAGTTCATTGTATTTGTTTGTGACTGATATCTAGTGATCGATTTACTTTGTAATACGCTTACAACAATAATTATTAAGTATTACCATGGTGTACTGATTTGTACTACTACTACTACGTGACAATAATAGTAATAGTATTAATAATAATGATAACTTTATGGGTTCAACACAGTATAGCGATTGAGATGTTTTCTCATCGGCTGACTAATGTAGGTGCATTGTTTGATAAACACCCTGGTACCTTGAGTTATTCACGTTAGTTGATGTAATCCTTATAAAAACATTGAAGAATATATAATAACAGATTCATAGATTTTCGCTAAATATTTATTTATTACTGTTTCTGAATAAATTAATGCTCCTGCTACTTGACAATAATTTATTTTGTGGCTCGTAATTCAGTTTTATAATCAGTGGCGAGTTTATTTGCTAGACCCCCTCTTGGTCTTTTCCTTTAATTCTTCTGCTTTGAAAAGGTTTGTTGAATTTACATTGTACTGTTAAATCGATCAAGTGGATTATCATATATACATTTATATTTTTCTTTGCTCTAATTTAGAGTTTGTAATTTTATATAGCTTAAATTCACTTTGATATTTCATCTTGTTTCATTTCTACAACTAGCCTGCATCTCGTACATATTTAATACAACTACAACAGCGTACATGGATGTTACATTGGTCACTTTTTGTTTTTTCAATCATCCCCAGGGCAAAGAAAAATTAATTGAATGGTTTATGCAAAATACAACGTAAATTCTTGAATTTTAGTTATTTTCAATTTATATATATATACAACATCGTAATTTTCAAGTTGATTGTTTCTAGTAGATCTTATTGATTGTAACAGTTTTTTATTATTATTTCGGACACCCAGTATCTTTTTTTAATGCAGTGGATAGTTGTGGAAACTTCAATTGTTTTGAAATATAATAATTCAAGAGACCAAATACTTGAACAACCTGTTAGATAAGTATTAAGATTTTTCTTAATTTGATGTTAGGTAACAGTCACTTTGAAAATTTTCTTTCTAAGATCTGTGTTTAGTCTTTACTTTTCCAATATAGTTATTTTATTTTATTTATTTATTTGAACACAAATATTGGTACAAGGGGGCACCAGATACATATGCGCCACACATTAACAATGAGAATGGGAAGAGAAAAAGAATGCAAGATACGTATAAGAGAGAGGAAAATAAAGAGAACAATAGTGACCGCAGGTTAGTGTATGGTAGTGTAATATAATAACAGTAATAATAGTGGGGGAAACGGAAAGGTGCAACCAGAAATAATTCTTTCAGTTAAAGAATTTGCAACCACTTCTTATGAAGAAAGTAAAAGAAAGTTACAGCAGGATCGCCACCGGCTTTTCTGAGCCATATCTGATAACGTATCTGGCCACTGTGTTGCACCATCTCTAGGACCCCAACAGAAGTCAGTCCTTTGCAGCTTTCTTTCATATCACGACACCATATCATACACTGACTACCTCTCCTCTTTTTCCAACCAGTCCCAGCGTCGACAAATAATATACGACGAGGAATTCTCTGAGACGACATTCGTAGAACATGTCCAAGCCACCGAAGTCGGTGTTTCAAGATGGTGACATCAATTGAATTATCGTCTCTGTCCCCGAACAGACGATGCTGTACCTCCTCTGTATTACTAACATGGTGTTTCCACTGAATATCAGCAACCCCCAAACGCTCTGGTTCGGCCGAGAGTGGGGTGAGTTCGCCCTGCCTCTCGAAACACTCTCACATGGCCACGCGTATATAGCCTCTGCCAGGGAAGTCCTACTCACTATCTCCTCGTGGCGGGGGTGTTGTTTACGAAACTGAGAGGACGAAAAGCGAATGTCCGGCGCCTTAATCGGGTTGGTGGAAACGGTGACTACACCTAGGGGAGTTGGGAAACCCTGATTCCAAACCAATGGTGCACATGGGCTCCAGGATCCTGAGGGAACAAATGGCGTATGAACCAGTTGTTGGTCACCGCCTACCATGTGACCGCATCTCCTGACGTTGCTCCACTGCCTTGTGGGTCAGACCTTTAGGTCAAAGACTCGGAGTGTGTCCCCCTAAGAAAATCACCTGCTTCGGTCTGGGCACTCGGGCAGTATCATAGCCCTCACACAATTAAAATGAAATGACAATGATTATTTCCAATATAAAAATAAGTTGTAAAGTTGCAAGAAGTCTATTTTTTAATCAAAGTAAATAATAGTAGAATATGTCATAACAGGAATGACTCTTGTTCTTAAGTATCGTCAAATCCACTTTAAAAGTAGATCCGCTTTTGATATACATATTTTACTTACAGATTCGTGTTGTGCAAGGTTTCAGGTTTTGAGTACCCTTTTACATGCCTTAATTTAAACTTTTGGGTAATATCACTTCTCTTCAGATGAAAATTGCGCTGAAAATTGAATGTAACAATGTACATTTGATAAATGCGTCGTTTTTTATTTCGGCTGGGAATTTGTAATATGTATATGGTTGAATGCAGTACAAATGTTTGAATTTAGCTATGTTATTTTTTGTGCCTTGGAGTTATGAGTATTTATGCAGCATTATTAATAATACTTCTTATGACAAACATAAAGTTATGAAAAACTGTAGACACATGCTGTGCACATGATTCCTATAAGGTCTGATTTTGGCATGTAATAGACCATGGGATTTACTTACCAGTTTTTTTAGAATTACTCACCAGGAATCAGTCAATAGTGATCTTAACATTTTATTACACTTTATTTTCAGTAATCATTGCGAAAAGCCATTCCAATTTTTCGTTTAAAAACTAAAACCTTCCTTTTTTTAATAAATAGACATTTGAACGCTATTCAAACGTTGGCGCCACATTTATTGCGTTACCTTACTGTGTGCGTAATCACTAGTACTGATAAAAAGAAAAAGAATCTTATACGAGATTTAAAATATCTTATTCAACAGGAAAGTTATTCTTATCGTGATCCAGTTACTGAATTCTTTGAGTGTCTATTTGTGAAATTCGATTTCGACGGAGCTCAACAAAAACTTCGAGTTTGTGAAATTGTAAGTCTTTTTTTCTTCATTATTATCGTTGTTTATTTAACTTTAAACTGGTGGATTTAGTGTTGAGTAATTAGTCAGTGGTAGTCGGTACGAATGTTATATAGAACAGTTCAGTTTTTTGTTTGATGTTAAATTTGCATGTTTACTTTACTTTATAATGTAACCTCTCAAACCAGTGATGTTTGATAAAAATAGGTTGTCTAATCTAATGAACAGTGTTTGTATATCAATGATAAGTTGTATGTATATTTCTCATATAGATGAATCCGGTGTTCATTTTGTTGTACTGATGCGGTATGGCAACCTGGACCGATGCACATATGTGCCTGGTCCTACGTTGTAGCTGACTGACTGACTGCGCTGTTGATATTGAAAAATATAAACACTCATTCAATACAATGGGTTATGGTCAATTAGATTAAAATAACTAAAAAACATAAATGGATGTCATGGTTTTATTTGGAATATTAATGTAAAAATCAGTTACACTCATCGTAGTTAAATGGAAAAGCACGTTCTTGGATTCCTCTCTATGTGTGTACCTATTGGTAGTAGTATTAGTAGTAACTTAGTTTATTAAAATGCACAGCTTTCAATTATTATTAGTTTTAAACTCTGTTTATCCTGATTTAATTTGAAAAGTTTGATATCGCATATTATCAATATCCCTTTTATTATCAATTAATTATAGTAATTTCAATGGTTAAGATCATGAGTCAGTTGATGCTAGACCACCATGGAAAACCTGGAAGCACTGGACGACCGTTTCGTCCCATTGTGGGACTCCTCGACAGTGCACATCCACGACCTCGCTCCCTGCGAGATTCGTGGGAGTGCACTGTCGAGGAGTCCCACAATGGGACGAAACGGTCGTCCAGTGCTTCCAGGTTTTCCATGGTGGTCTAGCATCAACTGACTCATGATCTTAACCATTGAAATTACTGTAATATTCACAAAACCCATCCGAAATTAATTATAGCTCAAACTGGATATACGCAAATATTCTGTTATATTTCAGTAGTAATGTTCAACAACTTTCTTTTACTCTTAGTAGTATCTATACATTATTTTTTTCTCCTACACAAAGCAATACAATGTATCTGATTTTTTAAAAATACTTTCAAGGTTTTACCAAATGATTTCTTCTTAACTGGATGTTATGATGAATTTATGGAGAATGCTCGTTTGCTTATGTTTGAATCTTTTGTCGAATACATCATAGTGTTGGAATAAGGTATGTTAACTGATTTTTTTCTCATTTATTTTACATGAATTAATCATTGGACAGTACTTCGTCATAACTTATTAGTCTGTGCAACTGAACATTTGGTGTAATCTGTTTTGTTGTTAGGTCGTTGAAAATTGTTTCCGGAAAAATCCTGATTAATATAGTTTTCTTGCTAGTTGATAATTTACAATAGGGTTTACTTACAATTTTAAGGGAATTATTACTCCTTGTTGGATTCTAACAGAAGTGTCATTCAACTTCTAAGTCTAATACTGTTATATTCTAGCGAAGATTAAATTACAAGTAACTTCTGAGACCTATTAATAGACTAATATTATCTATATATTCTTATGGTATAATTATTCAGTAATTAGATTGTGTATCTTTATATTCACTTTATCATAAGCTTCATTTTGATCTATAAATCATTATTACACGATTTACTGTTCCTAAATTATGTTCAGTTTATAAACTACCATCTCCCACGTTCACAGCCACTTTTTGGCTTTATTGTGTATAAATGTTATTTCTTATTTTATGGTGCGTTGCTGTCTGTTTGGTTGATATATAAACCCAGTACGTTTGAAATAAGTGGTTCATATTGCAGAAGCTGGTATTGGTGTTCTAGACTCAAGTGAACGGGCTAGGCGAACATAGGATCAATAAGGACGCTAGGCTACTCATGCCGGTCGAACGTCATTGGTTTAGCACAGTGTGAAGATTGTATAAGTTGTGTTTCGATCGGCGGATAAATCACGTGATAGCTAGTCGGACTTAAAGTCATAAGAAATACATTACTACTGAGCTGTTTAGATCTTAATTGACTTTATTTCAGATTGTATTTTTATGAGATTTTCTGACAAATTTCAATTATATTCTTTTCTATTCTTCGTAATTTGACAATTTTATTACGTAGAATGAATTTTTAATAATTAATGGCTACCTTTTAGAAACTTTGAATTCAGTAATAATAACTGACCTATTGATACAGCGTTTTGAAACTGTAGCATGAGAATAAGTGGATCCTCATTATACATTATTTGTCAATGAGCCTCTCAATTTTGGTTTCATATACTAGTCAGTACTTGTCAACATGGGGTATCTGATGGTGTCTATTGAACTAAAACTTGTACCTTTCACTGTTATAATTAAAGATGTTAACAATAAGTTGTTCAGACTATAATTGATTTTGTGTGTAGGACAGATTTTCGGAATAATTCATCACTAAGCAATAACCAATATTTTATTGTTTGGTCCTAAGCGCTAATTGAATTCTTTTATATTCCTGTTAGTTATGTATTGGTATACAGTTATTTTGAAGATCATACTTCTTTTTTATCATTAAGTGTACTTGCTGAAAAGTTGAATATGGATGTGGATGATGCGGAAAAATGGATTGTAAATTTAATACGCAACGCTCGTATGGATGCGAAGATAGATTCACAAAAGGTAAAGCAGTATTCGTTTTTTAACTGAATATTTACTGTTATCTAGGAATTATGTATTACGTGAAGAATAGGATCCTTTTCGTTGCTTCATATTGTAATATGCTATGTTAAGTATTGTTAAAGCCTTCAACCACACGATGAAGTGACACGTAAAAGTCGGTGGTCAAAGACACAAGATTATCTGCAAATACCATTTTTTACGAAAATATACGGAATGGATTACAAACCTCAATTCGTAAGATGTCTACGGTATTTACTGTGTCATTATGCAATTGAAAAAGGGATGCTTCCTAAAATGGATATATAAAGTTATTTATAACAATATGCGTTAAGTAAACGACAGTTAATAGCTATGTTGAAATTACAACGGCAGACAAGATCTAAATAAGAACTAAGAACACCAAAAATTTAGTCTGTCACAGTAAAACAACTATTTAACGAATATAATAACAATAGGGGTAATTGCTACAAGCACTAAAAAGATGCAATTATGATAACACATAAATTTAATGTTACTAGTTTACGTAAAGAGCTAGAAATACTACTCAACAACAGACAACAATGGTATTCTCTCAAAAGTTATTAGAATGGAAACTTATTACTGGTTATTAGTAAGTAGCATAATATAATATACAAAAGAGGATTGGTAAACAAAAGAATGCAAATAGAGAAAGTGTATATAAACTTAGCATTCAACTTTATCCTGATGAATGGAGTTGATCAACAGTACTGGGTTATAGCTGTTGGTTTGGGGAACATAACGAAAACGTAGCATTTAAGAGACCATAGAATATTCATCTGTGAAGTTACATTTTATACTACCACACCATGAAATGTAAGCTAAACAAGAAATGTTCATATTTCTGTTGCCTATTATCTTGAATCTGCTGTTCTTGAGTCAATAATACTGGTCTCCCAACTCGATGGTATTCCAACGCTTATCGAGGCGCTCGAAATCCCTTTTTTCAAAGCCTTAATCAGAACATGAAAATTAGACAATCGATATGCCTTATGTATTGTCTGACTGAAAAATACATGAGTTATAGGGGCGCAACAGTGAATGAGCTTATCCATCCATTTTCCGATGTTTAGTAAACATGCAGTATCCAGAATTTTCAGACATTTTTTCGCTTATTTGGTATGTGAATGTTGTATATTAGAATGTATTTTTCATTAGAGATTTTATTTCAAGCACTTCTAGTTATCTACATTTGTCCGCTACGAACAATTCAGTGCAGCGCATCTCAACTTGTCAGATAGAAAATGCAAACAAAATGAAGATTGAGACTTAAAACGAATTCTCCAGTAAAAGTTACACTCTTACGTAGAACAATTTACCCACTAAATGAGCTTAACAAATATCTGAAAATGCTGGACATCACATAATTATTGATGACTGAAAAAACCCAGATGGATAACTTAATATCAACGCTTCCAACTAAGAATTACAATTAATTTACAACAGTGAAACATATAAAAACAGACAATGAATCAAATGAAAACTCACAATGAAGAAGAAATTATACAAAACTATGTAAACTAAGTGTTTGGTAAATTCATGTCAGAAATATACTTACTGATGGCTAAAGGAAACTCAATGTTTCCTTATTTATTCTCCTCGTTCTGAAATTATAGATGTTAGTGACATTCAGTTATATGATCTGTACAGTTTCTGTTTGTATATTAAATTTACGCAGTTCGTCAATTTATGTCTCTAACAACATGCTATGTTCAAGGGATTAAGCTATCTCCGGCAAACGTAACTCAATTCAGCAACATGCCAACGGAAAAGCTAGGCTATTGCACCTCTCCCCTGACCTGCTAACTAGAGGAAGAAGATCAGATTCAGTCGAGAAGATATATAGTACCACAAGCAAGCCAAAAAAAAGAACAACAAGCACACAACTCATGTATATATATATATATATATATATATATATATATATATATATATATATATATATATATATATATATATATATATATATATATAGTACAAAAATATTCTTGAAGAACGTCAGAAAATAGCATATTAAAAGAGAAATCTAACCAATGAGGTTGACAGTCCTTCCAGGTGGGAAGCACAAACTGAAAGTAAAAATAGGCATTTTTGGCGCGAAATTGAGAATCTTAAATTTCCATTATTAAGTTACAGAAATAAGAAGTTTACTAAGTAATTTCTGGGGAACTAGCATCCCCAATACAACAGTACATATTTGTGAATGTTGTAATTATATTTTTCCCTATTAATGTCATAACATTAATCTCAATACAGTTAATAAAATTATATAATTATAATACAAATCACAAACTGTTGTATATATTTATGTATATAGGGTGTTATTGTAATGGGAACACAGAATGTTTCACCGTATCAACAAGTTATTGAACGAACTAAGAGTAGTGGAACATGTGCTCATAAACTATTGGAAAGATTGCGTTGGGAGAAATCAATCGATACAGAACTGGTAAGTCATATATATATATATATATCATTGGCCTATTCAATTATCTTTTAATATCGAATAATAATACTAATGGTTATTATTATTATTATTATTATTATATCGAATGAATTTGTTTTTCCATGCTTAATTTATTCCTAAAACTCCCAACGTAAATAGATACATAGATTATTCATGTTTACGCATAATTGCAGTGTGTATTTGCTTGTTTGTTTGTTCACGTTGTATACACATATATGTGTGTTTGTGTTTTATAATATCTCTTTTTTTCTCATATCTTATTCAACTATTTCCCACTATTTTTCATTATTAGTTGGCAGTCAGTTCGTTCGTTCGTTAGTTAGTTAGTAAGTTATTCAATATAGTTTATTCTAACTACTCTGATTATTGTTGCCCTGTGTAATAACATGCGCGCACGCGCATATGCACACACATAGAGAGACACATACAAAGAGAGGAATAAACAATGATGTGCACAGGATCTATGACATTTGGATGTGACATTGTTTCTTTTTATCATTGTTTTTATTATCCAGCATTCAATAGATTTGAGTAGGTGGATGTTATTATTATTATTATTATTATTATTATTATTATTATTATTATTATTATTATTATTATTATTATTCACATTGATGAGTTAATTGCCAAATGCAATAAACATTTTGTTCACTCCAATAATACGTCTTACTATTTGAATGTTTTCTATATCATTACTATAATGAGTTATTTGATAAATTATTTTGCTAGCTTTTCATTCTTCTAATAGTTTAGTTTGTTCTTTTATTGATTCCCTTTGATTGTAGTGATTTTATTGGTTATATTCTCTTAGATATATCTTTGTCATCGTTGGGGATGATAGATCCCCAAAACTTACTTGGTAAATGTCTTATTTTTGTAAATTTTTTTTCTTGAAAATTTGGATTTCTCATTTTCGCAACAGAAGCGCCCTACTTTTTTCACCTTCAGTTTGTTTCCCATCTAGAAGAACCTTTAGCCTCATTGATTAGATTTATCTTTTAGTACGCTATTTTTTGACGTTTTTCAAGAACATTTTTGTGCTATATATATGCATGAGTTGTGTGCTCGTTGGTTCGTGCTTCAGACCGATTGCGGAATATACTTTTCCCTCCTCTGAATCTAGTCTTCTCCCTTTAGTTCGCATTGCAGGGACGCAGTAGTATAGTTTAGTTTATCCTGTGTTTATGTTACTGACTTGCGTTCTATTCGCCAGTTTTTAGTGATGTCTTCGAACGTAGCAGCCATTGCAATACATATCGTTATAGTTTGTAATAATGAGTTCGATAGTTATGTAATAAGGATGATAAGAATGAACACATGTCATGTTTGTTATATTCTAGACACTGTTATTGACTGAAAATAATCTATGAATGTGTTGTGGTTATTTTAGAGGGCATAAAGGGCTTCAGAATCCTGAGGGAACATATGATCACTGTCTACTATGTGACTGCAACTCCTAACATTGCTCTACCATCTTGTAGATTTGGCCTCTATGTAAAAGAGTCGGGGAGTAACCCTCTGTGAAACCACATGTTTCTGTTTGGACACACATGCAGTATCCGAACCCGTTCACATTATTCAGTGATTTCTGTGGTCCATATATATATATATATATATATATATATATATATATATATATATATATTGGTGCCCATTTATTATATCATTTTTTTGGCGGTTGTCATTTAAGTACTGTTTTATTTAGATTATTCTTTAGTCAGTTAATCTCGTAGTACATCACTAGTAATATCTTCGTTGAATTATAATTTTAAGAAGAGAGATTTCTTACTCATCAAACAACACCATAAATAAAGAACTAGAATGTATTCATAATATTTTTCATTGAAATTAGTAATCCATCAGGGGTTTTCGAAAGAAGAAGTACTTACATCTAATGAATAAATCTTGTAATGACAAGGAACAATTCAGTAAGAAATCTCTCTTCTTCAATCTACAATATAATAGAGATATAATTTATGATCTACTACAAGATAGACGGATTAAATTAATCTATTCAATGTTTTATTCTGATTAATTTTACTACATTACATGAACTGTTTTCATTATTTCTTTCATTTCATTTATTTAATTTTTGTTTTTTGTATTTCATCTTGTAGTGGACCTCTTCAAATCTGCACGTCTATTGATTTGATGATTGTTGTTCAGAAGAAAAAACCGTTTTTTTTTCTATTGATGGATTTCTTTTCTAAACACTATGAAGTAATAATTATTATCACTGATAAGTATATCCATTCAATTGACATATGTGTACTGGTGTATCATATACTACCTACTGTTGTTTGTTTGTGTTTGACTACTGGGATTCATTTAGGGAATATCGTTTAGATAATTCGAATCTCTTTCTGTATATGTAAATGAAATTGATATAACTCATTGATTATGTAAGAGATGATTGGTTTTCTTCTATTTCTTGACATTTTTATGATACACTATTGTTTACAATTTGGTAATGGATTTTCTGTCATCAATAATTGATTTCCTATTTTTTTCTCTTTTTTTGGAAGGGAGTTATTATAGAGAGATAATAAATGATTTTAGGTCACATTTAAATTCCTCGTAAAAATCCAACTGTTTATTAATAATATTGTAAATAAGTCATACTACATTTCGTCATTTGAATTATCGTTATTTAGAGTGGATCAATCAATCATAAACTATGTAATACATCATATAAGTGTACATGTCTATGTAATTAAGTCCGATTAACAATAATCTGACATCAGAATGTTTAGTAAGGCAAGTGAAAGAACTAAAAAATTGGGAAACGAGGGTGATGGTTATATATACTGTAAAAACGTACTTCAGCTGGAACTGTTTACTTACTTATGCCTGTTACCCCTCATGAAGAAGTATACGCCGCTCAACAGCATTCTCCATTTCACTCTATTCTGTGCTCTCTTTCCTAGCTGTTTCTACATTATATTCATTCTATACATCTCTGCTTCCGATTCCTGACGTACTATGTACTATGTTCCTTGACACTCCTCTTTTCCATTTCCCTTCAGGATTCCAAGTTAGCGCTCACCTAGTGATGCAGTTTGATGATTTCCACAATGTATATCCTATCCACTTCCATCGTGTTTTCCTAATTTCCTGCTCAGATTGAAGCTGGTTTGTTCTCTCTCACAGTAGACCGTTGCTAATAGTATTTGGTCAACGGACATTGAGTATGTTGCGTAGATAATTGTTTATAAATGCTTGTACGTTTTTGATGATGGTTGTGGTAGTTCTCGAAGTTTCAACTCTGTACAGTGGGACTGTGTTGACGTTGGTATTAAAGATTGTGACTTTGATATTGGTTGATAGTTGTTTTGAGTTCCATATGTTCCTTAACTATGGTAATGCTGCTCTCATTTGTCCACTCTTTGCTTTTATGTTTTCATCGGATCCTCCTTGTTCATCGATGATAATGCCCAGGTACGTGTAAGTTTCCACCTCTTCCAGAGTTTCTCAATCGAATGTAATTGGGTTGGTGTTCTCCATGTTATATTTCAAGATCTTGCTATTTCCCTTGTGTATGTCGAGGTTTACTGATGCAAGGGCTTCTGCTACACTGGTCGTCTTCATCTGCATTGGTTGGTGTATATAAGATAGAAGAGCTAGGTGATATTTGAAGTCTAAATCTTCTAGTTTTAGGCAAGCTGTCCATTGTATTCAGTGATTCCTGTGATATTTGGAGGTTTTCATAATCCAGTCAACTACCAGAAGAAAGAGAAAGAGGTAGAGTATTCATCCTGGTCAGAATCTGGTCCTCACTTGGAATGCGTATCTAAGTAGTCCTCCATGCACGTCTTTGCACTGTAGTCCGTCGTATGAACTCCGTATGATGTTGACGATTTTCTCAGGTACACCAAAGTGTCGAAGAAAGTTTCATGAGTTTCTCCTTTCCACATTGTCAAAAGCCTTCTCATAGATAGGTGGTTGTATGTGCATTACTATGACGGTTTTTTACTCGTTTCACCTTACATCTCCATAGGTAATTGGCAATTATACAAATTAGTCCGGTGATAGGTCTGAATCTATCCATATGGGTTAGAACTATTGACAATCACTTCATGAACTGATATAATATTTTCGCTTAATCGAATCTACCAACTTCTATGGTTTTCTATATTGTATATGAAGTTAGTTGGTATCTAAGAATGGCTTATACACGGAAGTCATCTATTCCAGTCGAAGGTTCACGTTCTTATCATTTCTAACTAAAATCATGTACCTAACTTCGGCATCACGCTATCAGTAATACAAAGATATATGTGATCGAGTACTTGCTACAGAACACCAAAAGATGCAAGCGGACGACTGAAGGCTACGTATTATATAAATACTCTGTAACTTGTCGCAGTTAGTATATATTTCTATCTATTGTTGTGCTTTACTGTATAACGGAGTTATTCGGAACAACGTTATTGTGTATTTCTATAATCAAGAGAACTGCTCAGCAATTAACTTAATCACGAAAAATATGAATTAAATAATAAACAACTACGCACGTTTTGCTTAACATATATAGTGATGTTTTTTGATTTATTGTTAGAAAGTAAGCAAATTATACAGATGTTTCAAATCTAACTAGACAAGATATACAGTAGCTTTTCAAATGTTTAGCCCCTAAATGCCCTGGTACGATCGAGGGTTGGTAGAGTCCGCTCTTTGTCTCGAAATACTCTTATAAAACCACTTCCAAGGAAGTCTTACTCACTGCCTTCTCGTGATCGGAGTGTTTACGAAATTGAGAGGACAAAAAGCGAATGTTCGGCACTTTAACCGGGTTGGTGGATAACGGAGGGTCCACCTAGAGGAGTTGGATAATCCTGATTCCAAACCAATGGTGAAAATGGGCTTTAGAATCCTGAGGGAACAAATGGCATATGAACCTATTGTTGTTCACCGTCTATCATGGAACTGCATCTCCTAACATTGCTCCACTACCTTGTGGATTAGACCTATAGTTCAGAGGCTCAGGGGAGTGGTTGCCTAAAAAAACCATTTTCTTCGGTTCGGGCACCCGGGCTGTATCCCAGCCATCACACAAATCGAATGACTTGTGTGGTGCATATATATTCGACGCCTTATTGTACTAATGTTTATTTGTTTAAATAAATAATGCTGATATGACACCCAGATAAATATTTTTCTCTTCACACCTGATATGTTAATCAAATTTTCATTTGGAAATCATTCAGTCGATAATCTTCGTTTATCACTTAAATAATTATTATCTTATCAACAGAACTTGATAACTAACTAGTGTACATATATTCAAACCAATTATTACCACGTTAACCTTTGTTTATATCAAAATTAGATCATAGAGATTAATGTAGTTTTGTTATAGGTGATTAGTAAAGAGTATGTAGTTCAGTAATGATTACGGCTATTTAAAAAAAAACAATTCCGGAAGAAAGGTAGTTCGATAATGTTATATTGGAATCGCTTATTATTTATACTTGAAAAGACAAGAAAACATAATTTCCATAACGCGAAGTAAAAACACCAAGACTGATACAAATGAAGATTTATTAAATTCAAAGCACGAAGATGACCTTTAGTTGAAAATTCACTTATTTATGTAATGATTATACACTCATTTTACTTATTAATTAGAATGAAATAATACCCAGAATTATAACAAACTATATGTAACATGTTATTCTGAGGATAGTGCATTCTAATTGAATACAAGAATTGTAATGTTTTACCGGATAAAATACCAAACTGAGGAAAACAAAAAAAACAATTGGTTAATCACTGGGTGGTGATTAATGTCATATGTGTCCGGTCCTTCTTAGTGCAGGTCGAATGCTATTAAAAAAGTTGCAATATGGCCACTAGTTTAGATGACTCGACGTTGCGTGCACCATGTTGAGGTAAGATGGTGGTTGAAATTAGTCAACAGGAAACTGTGAACCCGGGTTTCGTGCTGTTTGGCATTCGTCAGGAATTTTTACTTGTAATCCTGAGGGAACTAGTGATCCCTGACGCATTCGATCTCGTGTCACCCAGTTTTACAGTCAGAGACGTTACCACTGGACTATCCGATCCGCCACCGACCTCCTGTAAGACTGAGATGTATTCACAATTGATTGATCACTGGGTCGTGATCAATGTCAGGTCTTTTTTAGTGCAGATCGAATACTAGCAACCAAGTTGCAATATGGCCACTAATCTTGGTGACTCGACATTGCGTTCACTATATTGACATAAGATAATGGGTGGAGGTAGTCAACAGGAAACTGGGTGACACGAGACCTAATCCGTCAGGGAGCATCAATCCCCTCAAGATTACAGATACACCTTACTGATGAGTGCCAAATAGCACGAAACTCGGGTTTAAGGTTTCCTGTTGATTATCTCCAACCACCATCTTAAACTTAAATTCTACACTGAGCAATCATTATATTGAATTAATAAACAGAAGTAATGTTGACCAAATATAATGAGTACAGAAATGTAATTTGGCCTGTTTTTTTCTGTCCCCTCCCCATCATATCAGAGAAAATTCTAAAAAAAATATTTAGTTAAACTTAATGGGCTAAAATCTGTAGATTTATTTATCCTCATTTTGTTTGTTTGTTTTGTTAATGACCTTAATAGACATTAATAATATAAAAAATAATATATAACACTTTATAATAATCCTCTTGTGATTTAATGCAAATATTGAAATGTTTTGTTTTACTTAATGAGGTTATTTATGTAGATACCATTGATCAATATGTGTGACCAAAATTTATATTTACTAGAATCTACTTATGAGTAGATTGTTACAAGATCTATAATGAAGATATAGACCCATAGGATATGAATATATGAATTAAAATATTATCAATCTTACCTGATATGTCATTGTGTTTTAGTTTCTCATATCTGGCAAACTGATTATTATGTAATGTTACTTGAAAAAAAAACTGTTTCATTTATTCAAATGTTGAAAAGTGTAGGTTGAGTATTTGTTTATTTATTTATTTATTTGAACACATAAATATTGGTACAAGGGGGTGCCAGATTCATATGAGCCACACAATAACAATGAGAATGGGAAGAGATAAAGAATGTAAGGTGCGTATAAAAAGAAAAAAGAACAATAACAGTCACAAATTAGTGTATGGTAGTGGAATAATAA